GGGGAAATGCAACTTTTCACATGATTTTCTGAGATTCTGTTTGTTTGAATTAAACAGGGAAACACTCCTCAACCAGCCGGGGCCAGACTGGAAGGTCCTTAAAATATCTCCTGCATGCAGCCCCTTTGCACATTGACTTTCTTCTTCTTTAGGCCAGGAAAGTTGCTTCAACAAGCCAAAAATCTGGGACCTTGTGGGGCTGACAGGAAAAATCAATGATGGTGTCACTCATCTTTGATGAGATTTACTTGCCTACAAAAATGCCTTGAGTCCTAACCCATTAAGAACAAGGAAAGGAGAAAAACAACAAGGCACTCTGAAATTCTCCATCTCCCTATAACAATTCTTTTCCAGATCGTGCCCCAGGTTTTTTCAGTTTCTTATTTCTCACCTCTCCAGGTGAAAATATCTGTCACTCTGTCTCTGCCTGAACCTCTGCCACTGCTCCTGCTAATGATGTTACCACCCAACAGCCCACTACTCCCTGCTCTCCACCTCTGGTAATGTGTTTAGCATAACTAACACCATTTTAGCCACTCTCTGTAACAAAATGTGTCACATATTCATTCCCTGACCCTCATTATCAAGGTCCTGTGAACCAACTAGACAAATTAAACAGTTTTCTTCTTCCTTCCCCTGCCAGTCTCAAGGTTCCCAGGCCCCAGGACAATTACTCCCTCCTTGCTGGCCTTGAATGTGGCAGGCACCCAGCCAGGCAGGTGGTGTTGATGTCCCCATCACGGAACAGGGAGGTGTGACAGCGCACAGAGCACAGTTACAAGTCCTAAGTAGGGAACTACTGACAGTGAGACCCATGAACCCTGTGGCCAGGGACAACCCCATGGTCCTCTTCTTCCCCTGATGGTTTAGTGAGTGACTCATATTGTTTTATAGGATTTTCAAATCCAGATTGTGATGTTATAAAACAACACATGTATTAGGATTTGGCCCAATCTGAAGATAATTCAGGTGATCATAAATTAGAAGTTATTTTAAAAATTCTCTATTACTTAGGTGTTTAGAAATCATAAGTATTCTGCTACTTGTAGATTGTACTACATTGATTCTGCTTGTAGAAATCCTGTGCCATTCCTATCATAAATTCTGTGCTGTGCTAGTCATAATACCCCGATAAGGACAGAAAGCTTTAATTGTAACCACAATTTAGTGCCATCACCATTCTGCCAAGGATCTCTAAAAGAACCTCTCCATCCCCTCAGTGCTGGTGACACCCAGGCATCCCCTGGCTTTGCAGAGGAGGGAGCTCCTGCAGGGACATGCATGTGCAGGGGACAAACCACTCAAGCTGTGAACAAGCCTCCTGTGGAGCTGCTGCTGAGCATCCAGGCACAGCCAGGCCTGAGAGCCAGAGCCCTGGCGTCAGTCAGCCTCCTGCCATGTGGTGCTCAAATGCCTGCAGTGAGCACGGTTTGGGAGCAGGGAGCCTGATGAGCCAGAACTGACTCAGCCTGGAACCCCTGGCCAGGCGTTCGGTGCCATTGGAACAGCAGAGTGTTGTCACAGCAGGGTTTTCATTGAATCCAAACACAGCAGGAACAAAGCCAGCTCTGTTACTGGCTCCTCCTCAGCCTCTGTGGCTCAGAATTGCTGCTGGGGTATGTGGAGAGGGGTGGGCATGGCCCCTCACACATCCTCTCTCCCCAGCACTGAGTGGGGCCCCTATTCCCACTGCACATTAGATCCAAAGTGAGCAAAAGTCATCCTTGCCCAAACAGGGAGGACTGCAGAGCTTCATGTTTTCTCTGACCTACAGAGGGGGAAATGCCCTTCCACTAAATGAGGGAGACAGAGGGCTTAAATGAAGAGGGAATTAGAAGCAGACCACTGGGTACCTTCTCAGTCTCCTTGAGGAAGGAACTGGTGTGGGTTTGTCACAGGAGAGATGATGGGAGCACTGCTGACTGGGTGCTGGTGGACTTCCTTCAAGTCCTGTGCCCTACAAAACAAAGGTTTAAGGACAGCCTGTCCTTGGGAAGGGAGAATGCTTTCTGTGCTAAACACCTGCATTTCAGCTAGTTCCTTAAACAAATAGTCTAAAATGGTAGTGAAGGTGGCAGCAATTACATTTAAATCAAAAATAAACAGCTGCTTGTTCTGGCATTGCTTCCCAGAGCAAGGGTTGTGATTCTCCCTGAGGAGCTGCTCCCAGGAACCTGCCCAGGCAGCTGTGAAGCCAGGACCCTGCAGAGGCCCAGAAGAAAGAACCTGCAGTAAAACCATCTCTGCTTTCACCTTTCCTCCTGCCCTCTCTGTGTCTGATTGCTTGCCTAACATCTCGCTCTGCAGACCAATATATGCCAGTGGTTCCTGAAAATGAGGTTGTTTGGCTCAGATACTGTGACAGTGCAGACCACATAGCTACCACAAGAAGGGAAGGAAGCAGGGGGGGAAATGGGTGGGTCTGCTGGGGTGAGGGTTTGTTTAGGGGTGATCTCAGAACTCCACAACACCACCACCTCAGCCCTGAAAAGGTAACCCCAAAGACTAAAGGGAGGTCTCAACTTCCAAGAGGTGAGAGAGGAGCTCAGAGCCAGTGGGTGCAGTGGAAAGCACAGTGGGGGAACAGGCAGGACCTCGGGAAGGTGGCAAAGCCACAGCCTCTTCATCAGAGCCCAACCCACCAGCAGCAGCCCTCACACACCTGTGCTGCAGCTGGCCCAGAGGAAACCCTACAGCTGGGAGAGCAAGGTCAGTGAAGGAAACAGAGATAAGTGCTTGGCACATTTTCAGTGGCTGAGCCTTCCCAGCTTGTCCTCCACCTCTGTTTTATACCTTCTGGATTGTCAAGCATTACTTTATCACTTTTCTGTGGCTTGCCTGTCCCATTTGTCTTCAGTAACCAAGTCCTGGCATGACACCAGTGGCCACTCCCTTCCCTTTCTCCCCATCTCACCCACTAACTGGCTGCCAGTTCCCATGCTCACATCTCAGCCTATTTCCTTTCACTGGAGACTGGCAGCTACCCACCATCTGAGAGGAGCCAGGAACATCATGATTATTGGAGCTGTTTCACTTCCTAACAAAATGACCTTAATGGAGTTACTATTTGATTTGGTTTGGTTTGTTCTTTTCCAAAGGGGAACTATTAAATATCAATTAAGACATTTTAATTAAGAGACAAAATGGTCATAATAAATATTCCCACTCCAGGGGCTGCCTGGAGGTTGCAGGGATGCTGTTAGGAGTGGACTGAGGTCTGTTCCAGCAAGTAATGGAAGTCCTGGCATATGTGTAGGCTGCTGTCAGGCACACACTGCCATGCCTAACAACAGCCCTGCCAGGCTAGATGGAAAAATCCTTAGAGCTGAGAGCCAACTGCTTTTGGGACAACAAAGCAGCAGGCCAGACCAGGAGGAGACAGAAATACTAGCCTAAGCCCTTTCCTCTGTGCTGAGCTGCCATGAAGGGATGCAGAAACAGAGTGCTGCCTGTATCAGGATAACCCCAACCCTCACCCTCTCCTCCAGCTGAGGTTCGGCCAGAGGCAGGGCTGGGACTCAGGGATGGCTCACAATGAGGCAGAGGCTCGTTCCCTGTGCCAGCAGGCTTCAGCCTTTGGAAAGAGGGGAAGAGGAGCCTGTCACTCAGCACACTGCTGTGAATGACTGAGACAGACAGTGACCACTGTGACAACTCCAAAATTCATTCCTACAGGAGGCCTAGGCTAGGTGTCCCAAGACTCAAGCACCTCTGCTTCCTGGGGATGCCCTGTCTCCCTCCACGTTCCTGCTGCAGCCCCAAGGCACACAGCCAGCCTGGTCTGGATCTGTCAGGGCACATCCAGACCTGAAAGAGCCACCTGCAAAGCCTGGCAGGGTTCAGAAAGCAGGGTTGGAGGGTTGGGCAGAGGGCTAGAGAAAACAGAGCTTGTTAATTAAAATTCCTCTTTTTGTCCAAGCAGTGAGACCAGGGTCACATTAATTCAAAAGGAGGGAGTGGAGGGACTTGGGACAGCCTCTGCTCTCTGGCTAATGACAGCTACAACTTCTTTATACAGCAGTGCTGGAGTGTGAGGGCTGAGGCTGATGGATACTCCCATGGCTAGGCTCACTGAATTGTTCCATGCCGTGTCCTTACTTCAAAGTAGCTCAACTCCATGAAATCCCTTCATCTCCAGCATTCCACTCAGGAGCACTGATTTAGCTCTTCCTCAGACCCATGTCCAGACAGGTGTCCATGGTGAGGAGGTCTGAGACCATCCTGCACCATCAGAACCTGGTGGTCACCCTGGGTCAAGTCACCTTCTACCACCTTCACACTCCCCTCCATCACCTGAGATGCAGCAGTGTTCAGCCCTGCACCGCACAGCACTTAAGGAAGGAGGACACAATAAACTGAGATACGGAGGTTAACCAGCCTGAGAGACCACACAGCACATCCTGACAGGGCTGGGAACAGAGTCCAAGTTATCTAACTCCAACCTCCTGCATTCACCACCAGAGAGGACTCCGCATCTCTCAGGACAAAGATTTCAAGAATTGCATGAATGGAAAATATGACTGATAGAAGGGAGTGAGATTTGCCTTCTCTGTGTAATGGGCATGTTTCAGGACAAAGAGCAGCTCTGGAATGATTTCCTGAAGTCAAGGAGCAGATAGATATTTTCCCCAGGTCCTTCAATCTCCAGTGAAGGGGTGATTGTCCTGCTATGATACTATGGCAGAAGGAAAGACCCTCTGACCTGCCCATCATCTGCTGCAGCTTTGCAAATTCTCTATTCAGCTCAGGCCCACTGGTAGAGAAAC